CCCTTTGTCAGCTTCATTTTTTCTCCTAAATGTAGTTGTTCTTAAATGCTGTTTCTCACTGGGCCTGCTGCTCTTTCTATTCCATTAATCTTTCACTTCAGGTAAGCAAGAGGGACAAATCTGACAAGATGAGCAACGGTCAAGTGATATGAAACTCTCATCCACTAATATTGGCAATCAATTGCAATTATTCTTAGGATTGTTAGTCCCTCAAGCCTCTCTTCATTAATCAGCTCTCTATTCATTCGTCCCACACCTTCTAGCTCAAATTTGCTGTGATATTGTACTGTGTTTGAAAGAGTGCCTCATAAGCAATGAAAAAAACAGAGAATCTTTGAATATTAGTTGGCAGCTGGTTTAATTAAATATCTCTCCACCCACACTGTACTACATTGATTAATTTTTAAAGAAATGGCTAAATGAAGACATTAATTATTTGTATGTGGTGCATATGCTTTCATGCACACTATTGTATTTTAATTTACTTTTTAACAAGTAAGCCAATATGATTTTAAAATTATTTCTCATCTGTCATGCATGCTAATAAAGTAAAGAAACCTACTAATTTATGCCATATTAAATTTAGCCTCTTTTTTTGTGCTTTTTAGTTACATAGTTCTTCAGGAAATCAAACTAGAAAAAATGGATTTAACCTTTCTGCTTTTTAGTCCACATAAAGACATTTAGTGTGGGATATAAGTGAAATACTCCCTTTTGGCTGCCTTAAGAGCATGGAATAGAATATGTACACATTTTTCTCTTGATTATTTGTCTTTTATTAATCATTCTATGTAAAACTCAAATACAACAAGGCAAACTGATCACTCTGCAAAATTATTAACTGTCATCTGAAGCATTAGATAATTCAGTTATATTCTGCTTCTTTTGGGTGGGTATATGATGATGAGTTTTTTGGAAATTCTACAAACCACATAGAGTATGTATGGTAATTCTGCATTACCCTGCTTATTTACTCATTGGTGCCATAAAGGATCATTTATGCATATGTAAGCACATGGAGACATTAAGATTTCTAAGTGAAAAATCCTTTTGAGTTAATTTGTTATGGATTTTGAAATTTCTTAAAAATTTAAACTGTGTGTATATGTGTGTGTGTTTTGTACTTATGGACAATTGTGCAAATTGATCATAAATGATATTAACCAGAAAATTACATATAAAACTGTAGATATTAGTGAATACACTTCCATGTATTTTTTTAAACATTATACTTATGCTTCTAGACTCTCAAAAATGAAAGTTATACTGCTGCTTTTCAGATAGGTTATAGATTGTCTGGAGATCACACTCTTATTGTAATATTTAAATAAATCGTTGATTTAATTAGCCAAAGAAACAAAAATCTTAAAGGGAGTGAGACAGCTACATGGGGAGGAGTAGCTGCATTCAGTGTTTGTGAAACTCCACTCTGTTTCTATGATTCTGTCATGAGGGACACCAGATCTAGAAAGCTCTTCCTCATCACAATCTTTTTATTCTGTGCTTCCTTCTCTTTCAAAGAAGAATCTGTACTTACCATCTCTACAGTTCTCTTAAATGGAAGGAAATATTTATAAACATTGAGTTATCCTGGTTCGTGAACACCACCACCACATCCTCACCACTGGATAGAAAACAGAGAGACTTCTCTGTTATCCCTGAACAAAAGCTTAGCCCTTGTACTTCCAGAATCAAAGACAGTTCATCTCACCACATTTAATTCTGTGACCCTAATTTAATATTATTTTACCTGGGTAGTGCTGATGCTGAATTTGATCGAAGGACTACAATCAGAAATGCATTTCCTTGCACTGACCTATTGTTATTTCCTCTAAAATATATTTAGAAGTGCAGTAATCATTTAGATAATGGAAAGAAAATGGGATTGAATGTCAAAAGACATCCTCTGTCTCTGTTGCTTACTATCTGCATGACTTCAAACAATTTACTTAAATCTCCTGTGTCATTGTTAAAATGCAAGTGACAGCAGTCCACCTGAGAGGATGGCATGGGAAATATTCAAATTAATGAATGTGAAAAAGTGTTTTGTAAATATACCAGAACTATGTCTGTTCTTATGAGTATGACAAAAGTAGTTATTTGCTTTGAAATCAGCTACCAAAAAATAATATTGATTGGATAAACATACAGTCCTTGCAAGTGTACCATACACTTTATAAGTGTACCATAGACCTAGAAATCTTAGAAAATAATATATATCTAAGTTTTCCCCGTGAAAATAAACCAAAAAGTTTTCAAGTATGTCAAACATAGATTTGTATAGATGTTTGAAAATCTTTTATTCTTTTACTATTATCTCTTTGTGTATAAAAGTCTTATAATTACTTCTTTTTAAACCTAAATTTAGCATATTTCTTTTCATTCCATTAACTCAGTTGAATAATAAATTGTTTTTTAAAAAGCTATTTAAACTAATATTCTGTAATGACTTATCCAAGAAAATACCTGTTTTTTTTTTTCAGAAGTCTGAACCACTATTTTGTTCTTTAGTCAAGCACATAACTAACCACATAGCTTTAAAAATGTTGCTGTATCAGTCAACCATAGGTCATTCACTTCATTCATTCTTCCATTCATGGGAGTGCCGCTGGTATGTATATGGACGATGGCAATGGGTTTTCTGTGAAAACTGTGGTAGATCTCATGGCCACTTATTCAAGGAATTTATCCCCTTTAATTTTATAACGAACTTATGGGCTTGCCTTAGCCTATATTGTGGAAACCAAACATCACTAATGGGCTCAATAAACAACTCTGGGTTTCCTTACTCATGAGACTTTAAATGCTTCACCTGTGCTTCCTTTTAGAAAACATGAAATTGAAATATTTGCTTTATTTCAAAGTGGGTGGTCTGAGGTACTAAATTGCATTGCTAATGCATGAGCCTAGAAAGATAAAGAGGAAGAATGAAGGTTCACGTGCTACTCTTACAGTCTGAGGGCATTCCACTGACCTGTCTCCTTCACGGTGGCCATGCTTCCATGGTCCGGTGGTGCTTTGCCACAATAGCGTTTTAACTGTGCAGTGGAATTCACCTGGGATTGTTCTTATCCTATGTGAGTGCTTTATTAATTAGCTTCATTCTTTCGTATTCTCAATATTAACAATAAAATTATCTAGGTATTTTTATTTTTTGACAAAAAAGTCACTTTTAATAATTCAGTTTTTAAAGGTTATATCATTCACAATAGACTAGAACAACGATTGTTTTCTTTTTGGGTCACCCAGAACTTGCCTCTAGATCTGTGATGAGACTAGTCTCTGTGAAGATACCACAACCCCAAGTCCTGAACTGGAATTCAGGAGACTTGGATTTGGGTCTTGCTCTTTCACTAACTTGTTGGAAGATGTAATCCTGTGCTTCAGTTTTATCAGATGTATCACCCAGGGCAAGTCACTTGACCTCTTTTATGCCTCAATTTCCTCATCTGTAAAAGGAGATAATAGAAATGACTACCTCTAAGGGTTGTAAGGCATCAATGAGATTATGATGATAAGGGACTTAGAACTGTACTGGGCTCATACTAAGAACCTATATGTTATCTACATTAATACTAATCTGCCTTGTCATAACTCCTGTGTATTTCACCTCACAAGGCTATACTGAGAATCAAATAACGTAAGTATTGTGTTAGTTTTTATTGCTGCATAGCAAACTTATCAACTTAAAACAACATCCATTTACTATCTCACAGTTGCTATATGTCAGAAGTCCAGGGATGGCTTAGTTGGATCCTCCAATCAGGAATTCAAAAGGCTGACATCAAAGTGTCAGCTGAGTTGTGTTCCTTTCTGGTGCTCAGGGTCTTCTTTCAAGCTTATAGGGCTGTTGGAAGCTCATAGCGATGTCATTTGATCAGCACTCAGGAGACCTCATATATTGTAAAACACTCAGTAATATATAACTAAATAATGATGCAGGGAAAGATTGAAAGCAATTACATCTTTCATTAAAATAGAATTTAACCTAGAAATTCACACAAGAAACTACCAGTACTTTGTTAATAGGAGTGCCTTCAGGGCAGGGCTGAATTCCGTATCAACACAGAGATTAGTAAAACTTTTATACATGGAAATAATATTATATAAAATAAGGAATACAGACTTAAGATTATATTTAGTGGGTGTTTTTGTTTTTGTTTTTGAAACAGGGTCTCAATCTGTTGCCCAGGCTCGAGTGCCATGGTGCAATCATGGCTCACTGAAGCCTCAACTTCCTGGGCTCAAGTGATTCTCCCACCTCAGTCTCTGGAGTAACTGGGACTACAGACATGTAGTATGCTCAGCTAATTTTTTTGAATTTTAGTAGAGATGAGGTCTCGTTTTGTTGCCCAGGCTCATCTCGAACTTCTGAGCTCAGGCAATTCTCTTGCCTCATCCTCCCAAAGTGCTGGGATTACAGGCATGAGCCACCATGCCCGGCCTGTATCTGTATTAAAACTTGACTCTACCACTCTTGGCAATATTATTCTGGATTAATTACTTTTTCTTCCTGAGACTTGATTTCTGACTCTTAAATCAGAGTAACACTGTTTACTTCAGGAGATGTACTGGGAATAAGTGAAATACCCTATGCCAAGCTATTAGAACAGTATCGGGTACATAGTGAACACTTAGTAAGTGAAGACTATTGTTGCCATTGCTGTCATTATTTATTTTAATAATCTTAACATGTGGCTTAATGTCTGGAACATATTATGTGCTCAGAAAATATTACTTCTTTCACCCTTCTTCAGTATCTGTTGAGTTGAACTGGATCTGTAGAGGAGAATATTTTGGATATTATCAATCTGAACTAGGCTAAGTGGTTGCCATTTGCCTAATTTTATTTAATTTTCTACAATTTTCTTCCTCCCTTCCTTCCTGCTTGCTTGCCTGCCTGTCTCCCTTCCTTTCTTCTTTCTTTCATTGTCTTTCCTACCTTCTTTCTTCTTCTCTGTCTCTTCCTTTTATTTCTCCATCTTTTTTTTCCCAAGCAGATATTATTTTAAATTTCCGAACAACTTATGTCAGCAAGTCTGGCCAAGTTATCTTTGAAGCAAGATCAATTTGCATCCACTATGTCACAACCTGGTTCATCATTGATTTAATCGCTGCCCTGCCTTTTGATCTCCTGTATGCTTTCAACGTCACAGTGGTGAGTAAAGAGCTCCCCGCCACGTGGCCTTTAAGGTTGATTTATTTTTCCCATGTTTAGGTTTTAAATGGTTGTGGCGATTTATGCTTCCAGGGTTTTGTACCTTCTTCAATAAAGATGCCCTGATGCCCAGTGATATGCAGGCCAGATTCTTCAGTTGATGAAGTTATTTCCTTTTGACATTCATATTACCTGTTCTTGCTTTTATAAATACCCAGAGCCAAGAAACACAGAAATGCTGAATTTATCATAAATATTGACCCACTAAACAAATTCTTTTTTTTGAATTCCATAAGGATTTAATTGGAATTGCTTTATATTTACAGATTTATCTGAGGATTAATGGATTTCTTCCCATATTACATTTACTTATTCAAGGATATAGAAAATACTATACAGACTTGAAGGAAATCATCTGCAGGAATTTAAGCATCACTTTATATTACCTAGGCAGATACTTGTCTCAAGAATTTGCTGGAGAGTTTGAAGATTTTTTTTTCTGCTTTTATGACCCTTAACTCTCTATTTCTTTAGTATTTTGTTACTCATTGGCAAAACCGACTGAAGACTGATCAAGATAGAGAGGACTGTTGATTTTAAATGAAGGAATTCAACCACTTCTTAGAAGTCCTTGTAAAACTGTTGGATGTAGCAAAAACCTAAATGATATGACTAATGTAAAACTTGAGAGTTCTCTTGAATTTGCATGAATCTTGGTACCTTCTTTTTCTTGCTCTAAATCCCTTACCCTCATGTAGCCTCACAGGACAGAAAGCATATCACTTGTAGTAGTAGCCGTTTTTATAATATGATGATTGGTATTCTTAAAAGTATTAAATGCTCCCTTATAAAGAAACTTTTAGGGAGGCCATTTGTGAAGCAGTAATGCAATTTTCTGCTAGAGTAACCAATTATGGCATGTAAAAATTTATTAAACATTAGTTCAAATTAAGCAGATATTCTATTCAATTGACAGTGCTTCATAGAAATCATATTCTCTTTCAAAAATTTAAAGGCATAGTTTTAAATATTACACACAATAATCACAGTTTCAAATACATTTATTATTAACTTCAGAATGAATGTAGAATTGTGATCCCGACTTGTTAGTGCAGACTTGTGCATTTGTTAATTGCCTGTACAATAGTTTCTTTTTATTCTTTTTCTTTTTAAGTTGGGAAATTGATAGTGCCAACATCTTTAAAACGTTTGTGACTCAACTGAAAGGAAAGCTCCCAGGAAAAATCTAGTATATATCAATCACTGCTACACTGAATTGTTATCCAGGCTTTCTACAGTGCTTTTTAAGATTGAATTTAACTAGATAAGTGTACCATCATGAAACAGTAATGGCTTAAAACCATGTTTTTGCAAGACTGCAGAATAAGCATGTAATTCACAAAAGGTTAAAAAAATTTCCAAATTCCCCTGGCAAATTGTTTTAAATTGTTCATTAATTATTTAATACAATTCCATTTTAAATTAATTTGCTGCTTTGCTACTAAAAATGAATACATTTTTTATGTCCCATTTTTATTTGAGTACTGAGCAAATAAGGTATTTTAAATATGCATATATAATATATATTATAGGTATATATAACATACACTTTCATATCATTAGCATTCTCATTCCCCAAAATTAATATGGATGAAGAAATGTCTTAAAAGTCTAATTCGCATGTTTGACGAATTTTAAATATTTATATACTTTCACTACACTTCTGCTCTCTTTTCATCAATCTTATGTAATCTAACACAAATGCTTCATAAATAATACAAGGTATAGAGCAACATCTATGTCAAAAAAAAAAAAAGAAACAGGGGAAGGAAGAAATCTGTTTTCACTGATACTTGTTCTGCTTTTCACATGAGTGAGCATATGAGCATTGAAAAAGCTGGCACCTAAATTCATTATCCCTCTTAAACAAGTTAGTCAGGACAAAATATTCTGTAATATTTGAACAGAAAAGCTTGTTCAAGGTATTATGTTTTCTTCTCAGGCAAATGTAAGTTATGAGGAATAACTTACGGGTTATGCTCTTTTACAACAAAGACTTAAAAAAAGAAACAAATAAATAACAAAATGTGTTTGTCTCCCAAATCTGAAATGTGTCCAGTTAATGCATCTCCACAGGTGACATTCAGAACTGCATAAGCTTTGGCTTTGGCTCTGCTCACAATTGCTCATGGCAGTTCTTTTAAGTAAAGATCACATGCTTTTTGAAAACTAGTATGTATATCACTGTAAAAGGCACTTATAAGAGATAAAATTATGAATAAGACATAGGAAGGTTGATAGAGTAGAAAGGGCAGAAGTATGAATCCAAGTTCTATCACTTACCATCTGAGTAACTTACTTGGGGAAGTTAACACTAAAATGTCCGTAAAATGGGCATAATATAATTCCTACAGAGTTTTTGACCAGACTAAAAATGCCACATATCTATACAATGCTTTTCTAAATGTCTAAAACCTAGGAAGACCTCACAACATGTTAGTTCGCCTCCTCTCTCTCTCTTTCTCCCTTCTGGGTGATAGCTAGGAGGTGGTCATATCCATTTGGTAAAAGGGGAAACTCACATTTGATAGGGGGGTTCAATGAATGCCCCTGTCTATGAGTAGCTTACAGTTCTCATCAGTGACAAATTTGAAACAGCATCCAAAGAATCCTCTCCCTTTTCAGATACATATTGCCATCTAAGTCAAATATGCTTCTTTCTCTTATCATTCTTCAAGAGGCAACATTAAAACTTTAGCAAGAAGCTATTGACTCTGATGGGAGCAAGCATAATTTTTTTAATGCCAGTTTTTATTGACTTAAGAATGAACATAGAACTATCTGGGTCGTCTGGACACCAAGGTTCATGTTCCTAATATTTGCAAATGGCTATTGTCCTCATGTACAAGCAACTCCACACTCTTTGCTCAAATATCCCCTGTCTGGTCAGAGAAAATGGGGAGACTGTATCAAAATTATGTGTGCAGATGCCTGCCTCCATTTGGGACTTCTGTTCCAGTTTCATTTCACTTCCAAATTGTCACCTAACCATCAAATTCATCTACCTGTAAAATAAACTCCATCCCCAGTAATATATTTAAATAACAGAATAGAGATTACAAATCTTGGCCTCCGACCATCTGGCTAACCACCAGCTTGAGAAATGATAGATGAGAACTTAGCTATAAAGGAGAAGAAAGTAAAACTTGACACAGGAGAATGACAAAAAGAAATAAAAGAGCAAAGCTAGCTGTTAAGTTCTTCAAGTGCCCTTAAGAGTTTACTGTATTTGAGTATAGAATAATTCACAAGATTACAACTGAATATAATTTTGTTGAGTATCAATTTCTATGCTGAGCTTGGCATGTTTGCATCTTAACTTGATAATTTATTCATTCACTCATTTAATAAATATTTATTAAGCATTTTCTATGTGTCAGGCACTGTGCTAGGTTTGTTTTTCTTAGAGATAAGAGAATATGGCTAGCAGAGGACAGAATTAGAAGTCAACTGACTTTAGATAAATACAAAAGCAAACTCCCAATGCTGACCTTGTGTCTGATTAAGTTTTGTAAAGGAAAGAGTGCAGTTAGTTAAAGCCATAAAAAGTCACTCCTTTTCTACGTATGCTTTCCCCAAAGAAATTAGGTGACATCAAGAAATCTGTCAAACTGCATTTCCATATGATTTAATGTTTTATTTGTTGTTTCCATTTTAGAATGTTCTTTGAAGGTATGAAAAGAATGTGTGTTATGTACACCCCTTATTAATGGTGATATTGACCATTCTGGTCCACACCAATGATGCACATTTTTCAATTGGACCCTGAAGTCAATAAAATAACCCCTCAGATACAATTCTACTGCTACAGTGGATGCAAAGGCACTAGGAGACTCTTCAGAAATTCTTGTCCCTTTCATTTTAATTCCCTAAGCATGTTTAAGAGAGCACTGAGAGAGAGAGAGAGAGAGAGAGAGAGAGAGAGAGAGAGCGCTTCAGGCAAATGTTTTCTCTCTCCGTTGATAATGTTGGAGGTATAGTACATAAGGCAGAAGATGCTACTGGTATTTGTGAGCAGAACTTACTCAAGTTTTATGGGTCTACCTATTTTAAAAAATAAACTCTAAGGTATTTTTATTATCACTTTCTATGCATTTACTTCAATTTGTCTGAATTATTATTATAAAGCAATTTCCTTACACAGAGAAGGGAATGCGGGGTTGAAAAGAAATATGTATAGGGAATTCGAGATATGTACAATTCTGATACCATAATGTGTTTCAGTTGTGTATCAGAATGTAAACTACAGTATGAAATCAGACAGGGAGTGAAAAAACAATAACCCCTAATTAAGAAAGGTATTTATTCAAAGAAATTAAATTATCCTTCCTATCCTGTCCTTTATTCCAACCTCTTTAATTCTATCACTTTCTGATATAATATATCAAGAACAAAGACAATTCATAAAAACAATAATATTAAAATAATTCTACTTCATTTCCAGAATTTTTAGAATGGCTCCAAGTTAATGTTGTGGTATGACTTTAACACATGCACCAACTTGTGCTGCTCTGTCTCCTACCACAGGTGTCTCTTGTGCATCTTCTAAAGACGGTGCGACTCTTGCGTCTTTTGCGTCTGCTGCAGAAGTTAGACCGCTATTCCCAACACAGTACTATCGTCCTGACTCTGCTCATGTCCATGTTTGCACTCCTTGCACACTGGATGGCGTGTATCTGGTATGTCATTGGAAAAATGGAGAGGGAAGACAACAGCCTTCTGAAGTGGGAAGTTGGTAAGGGCTTACATTTGTCACATTTTCCATTTTTAAATTTAAAAAAAGAGTATCAAGAACTTGGAGGAAGTGAAAGACAAGTCTATAAATATATTTCTTCTTACTGTCAATTTGTCTAATTAATTTCTGTTTTTGAATCCATGATATAAGCAATTTAATTCAATAAGGTTTTCTGGAACAACCTTACATTTTTTTTGAAAATTAATGGGTTAAACTAATAAATTTTGTATATAATCAAAATAACCAGTTTGGCTGTAGAAGTGTTTAGATAAATAATGTTCAATCTTGTCTTGAAATGTTCCTATGCAGGGCTAGTAATAGTAAATCACTGGGAAACTGGCCTATGGCCTATCTTTACAATATCTTAACTAATAAGAAAATGATCACTTATATTTGAGGTGATATATTAATAGAAAAGATATTCTACCATCCTTCCCTTTAAAAAGAGAGAGTGAGAGTGAAAGTAAACATAATAACACACTCTCCACATTTAGCACACTTTGAGAATTTGTGATGGTAGAAAGGACTAGATATTTACAAGCATAATTTATAGTTGTGAGTCCCCATAACACATGGGGATTTAAGGGAGATTTTTCGAGTGTTACATAATCTGCATAAATGAATTTGAAACATTATGCACATGAACACATTTTTAAACTTATGTCAACCACAGTAAATTTATAGAAAATGAAAATTCTCAAAATTATAACTCTCTATCCCAAAATATCTGCATTTTTCTCACAGTCATACCCTTTAGAGAATTGTCACAGTACCTTATGTAGAATTTTTTTTTATTAATCTGACATTTAATCAAAAGAATCTGCGTCTTAGTTGGCTAGAAAATCCTTCACTTATCTTCTCCACCAAAAATCGATCTTGAACTTTTGGAAGAAGTTCAGACCTTTGCATAAGAGACTCCCAAGAGAGAAAAATGCCCAAACTTTTCATACCAGCACTAAATGGCTGGACATATTTGGAACATCCCTGTGTTGGCCCTCATAAATGGCAGTCTCTCAGCAAAGGACATATACAGAGCCTTCAAAGGCAGCACTGGAGGAAGAGGTGGAGACCTTAGGAAAGCAGGTGGAAGGGAATAATCTCCTGTCCAGGTTATTAAAAATACCTCTTCACATCCCAATTTTATTTCTGAGCTACACAAAACAACTGATGTGTTCTTATAATTTTTATCTTAGAGTGATTTTCTTATCTTCTTTATCAAAGCACTTTTAAATGTCTAGTTGTGGGTCCTCAATTCTAGGAAACAAAGAAAATGGGGAAATAAAACTGCCGAGTGAAAGCAAAAATATCTTCGGTAAAAATAAGATCCAATAAGAAAGAGAAGGAGAAAGAGAGAGAGAGAAGAGTTGGTTAAAAGGAGGATCGGGGTCTGAATTGTATGTGGATTAAAACATTTTCCATCTTTCAATATTGTTTTCTTCTCTATAACTTTGTCTTGAAGGCTTCCTCATCACATCATATGTCATCATCCTAATGGTGTTCAGTAAATTACAGCATTAGATCTCTGCCCTTTGTTTTGAATTCATATTAAAATTCTGACTTGTGGTCAGCACCTGATTCCTTTTTAGACCTGACCTAATTTTCCTCAGGCCCCAGACCTATACACTCATATTAATTTGTAAGTCTCGTCTAGTCTGAGAGTCTGCAGATGGGAAAATTTAGCTTATTCACACTCTCAAATTTAGTTATATGAAGAAAGGCTTTTGTTTCATTTCCAACATGGCAGGCTTGCTGCAGACTTACAATCTAGCTGCTGTTTTTCCTCCCACAACATATAGAGGTATTTGTTTATCAATTAAAAAAAAAAAAACCTGAATTGCTTCTGTATTTACCCCATTACTTGTATTCTTGGTCCTTGTATTATGGTTCAATGTAATGAGTAGGAGGTTGTAAGCCAGAACACAATCTCACAGACAGAGCGTTGTCATGAAGTAGTGGCAAGAAGAGCATTGGACTGGGGGCAACAGACTTCTCCTGTCATCATGGTTCCATTGCTAATCAGCTGTCAGATTTGCAATATTTTTTTTCACCTGTCTGGGCCTCAGTTTCCTCATCTACAATGTGAAAAAGCTCACCATATAATTTGAAAGTTTATTTCTGGTTTCATGAGTAATGATTATCACGGATAAACAAACCCCAAAATGTGTGCTTCATATATATGTGTGTGTGTGTGTATATATACATATATATATATATGTTTTCTTATTATGGGTCAGTGTCCACATAAACCACCAGAGGATATATTAGAAAGTACATCCTATGATCATGGCATGTCAAATAATTGATAATCTTACTCATTTACGGTAAAAATGACTGAAAATGTATCTTTAGAGAACGACATTTCCTGTCCAAACACCTATTGGGATATGACTAGCACGATAGTATGCTAATTAAGTGTGTAAATATTGGGTTTATAGACTTGTCTACAAAGACTTTCCCTTCTGCTAGAATTATTTGCATCATTTAAATGTTCATTTAAAACATTCCCCGGTTGAGATTTAAACACAAATTAAATAATTATGACCTGCCCTATCTAACTGTATAATGAAGTAGCTGAGAGTCTAGGCTACTTCAGTTTTTACCGTGTAATTTTTGCACTAATAGTAAATTTTACGTTTTTGGGTCCAATTATCATTAATCCAAAAATTTATCATACCAATAACATTTGATGAGAGAACATGTTGTTCCTTATGTTTGTGTTTAACATTAGATGTATAAAAATAGATTCATTTTCCCAAAGGATAAAATTTCTTTCTAATTACTGTTAATTTCCATAAAATGAAATTTTTAAGTGCCCATTACATACTTGGTTTTGTGTTAGACACTGAGGATACCAAAACAAATAATAGAGCTTAAAATCTAGTGGGAAAAGTAGACAAAGATTTAATGGGTATATTACAGTGTGATATATTTTATAAAAGGAATATGTATAGAAGGGTGGCACTAAATCTAACTAGAATGTCATCAAAGGCTTTTCAGAGATGACCTGAGTTTTAAAGGGTGAATAGGTCTTGTCTGTATAGATGTTGAGGAAAGGGCATTTGTGGCAGCAGGGTTATTAATATATTAAGCAATTCACTCTCACAGAAGGTGAATGGAGGTATGGTAGAAAGGGAATGAGGCTAAAGAGGTAGATAGGTAGAGACCAGATCTTTAAAGACTATGCTAAGCTTTAGAGTGTGGACTTCATCATAAGATACAGTGAGAGATAAAGCTCTCTTTTGAACAGAGATCCTTTGAACATAGAGCACCACCAAAGAGTGGGAGATGTTTCACTCTGCTTCATTTTCAATGACTGTAAACAGACAATAATAATAGTGCCAACCTCAGTGGGGTTACCAGTATTAAATTAAGCAAGATGTATAAAGCATTTAGATTGGTACCTAGTAACTGCTCAGTAAGTAACAGCTAGTATAGTTCTCATTATCATTGTATTATGACAATTACTTCTAATGAAAGAAGGTACCATGAACTATGACTAGTGAATACTTATCATTTTATGTATGAAAGTTATTAGGAAATAGCTTTAAAAGTATTGCCTTCATAGTTTAGTTTGGTGCTGGACAAAAAATTATATGCTTTTGCATATCTTTAAAGTAATTTATCTGAACCTCCTTTCAATTGGAAAGTCAGCCTCTGAAAAATTTTTACATAGGCTCACAATTGCACATACGTAGGAGATTTTTTCTTTCAGGTTCATTTAGGAGGCAAGTCCTATATCAACCTTATAAGCTTGTTAGGATATATCAATTTTTTATGGAATTTAGATATAGTGCTTCATGGGTAAGATTAAACACTGTATTAAAGACACGTGTCACAACTGAATCAGAGAGTGCTTTTTACAGTTTAATTTTTGGGAGGCTGCAAAAAAATGTTTCAGAAGGATCTTTTTGCAGGGAGTGGAGGATGCTTTATTTGTTTACTATAAGAGGATATCAATAAATACCCAGCTAAAAATGTACAAGTAGACCTTGCATGTTTTCTTATATATCAATTAATATATGTATATATTATTTCAGCTCCTATCACTTTTAAAGTTCAATCAACGATATTGAATTAGTCTCTGAAGAACTCCGTTAGCATCCTAATATGAGTTCTGATTTGCAGCTCAAAAGGTTCAGGTCTGAATCCTGCTTCAGGAATGTGAGTTTGAATCAGGCATGTGATTTTGACCAAAATGACCTCAATGTGTGGTTTTTCATTAAACAATCTCAGATTTGTCATCTGTGACTGTGGCAATACTGACTCATGAGTACTTACTTCACATAGTATCTGGTACATAGTGTGTGCTTGTAGTTGGTAACTGCCACCATTATCACTTATATCAATGAGCAATGTAGAACTGAAATAGCAATACTCTTAAAGTCTAGTAAAGAGGTGATATTTTTGTATCAGTCATGATTCTTGATTGCAAGTAAAAACAAAAAAGGAATTCATTCGTAGGACATGTAGACTCAGAATTAGAAGGATACAAAACAAGACGAGGAAGAGAACATGAGCTAAGGAAGCCCCACACTGCCAATGCAAGAAGTTCCATTGTGACATTTCACAAGGATGGCCTGAACATGTTTCTGTCTGTAGATCCTGTGCAGGAATCCTAACCTCCTCTGCATGTCTGATTCACAGTGCCTGAGGGAAGAATTCAATTGGCCAAGCTTAAATCACATGCTCAGACACAGACTGCCAGGACAGGGAGACTCTTTCCATCTTACCCTTCCATGATGGAAAGTGGAGGCCTGTGTCTCCCCATTACTATATACAAGGAAGAACCCACCCATACCCCTGCCAGATAGGATGTTAGCCAGCAAAAAAAAAATTAAAAAGCATCATAATGTCAGACAGAATTAGCTGAAATATGGGGAAGTGGTATTTTTGATGCATCTTGCTCACTGTAACAAATCTGTGTTCCTTATGTGAGTCTAACAGTGGAATCCTAATTACCAATCTGTGTTTCCTCATGTATAATAGATTGTGTCTTGGTC